AATTAGCTTAAAATGCATTTCAAAATATTTCTTGCAGTCATTTCTTGCAAATATTTTAACACCTTACGTTCTTAAACTACTACTGCTACAATTGATTAATTCCATTCCTAACAACCCTGAGGCCCCCTGGGACATTTTGCCCCTCATCCCCCCTTTCAGCAGCCCCACTTATAGTGGAAGCTATTGTCAAAACTCTTTCAAAGGGTTAGCAAAGAAATGTGGAACATTGCCATTCTTGCATAAATGAAAGAGCATTAAAATGGCAATACCTGCATCTTGATAAATGAAGCAAATTTATGAAAGACTCATACCAAAAACTTTAACTTTGTACAAATGAGATTTATCTGTAATGTTGTGAGTGAGTTAGAAGCAGGAAATTCTTGCAAAAATACACCTGTGATACGGGAGGTTGGTTCTTTCTTTTTAGCCTGCATTTAAAAATATCTCAAACACTAATAACGGTATGGGGTCGTAATGACATATCAGTAATGGCATAATTTGTCACTTTTTGTAACGAAAGCTGATCCCGTTGAGTTCCCTCAGCACAGTATTACTTTTCGAAACATAGTTTTGATCTTTTTCAGTGCAATGAGTTGATTTCTTCTGAGCATTTAGATTCCTTCCAACCTGCTTAACTTCTTGTCAAGTGTACAAAACTTTTCTATTATTCATCCATGGTTGAGAAATTTCCGGTGAGAAAAATATTCTAACTGATTTCCTGTGACCAATGGTCACACAGTCACGGGGAAAATAACGCCCTGCCTTGAAGAAGGGGTTTTATTCTGTTACACCGTTATTTATGCCTGTTTGTTAAACCATCAGATGTGAGCCTGTCCTATGTCTCGTTTATTTCTCGACTGCAGCAGTACTTCCTTGTCTGATAAGGGATTATGTTGAGCACTTTGTACACGAGCACCTGTGATAGAAAAACATGATCACGATTCAGTTTTTCCCTTTTCCCACCAATTTAATGAAATAGAGTTCGCCAATCTAGTGAAAGGTTACACACAGTAAGGTTTGTTTATCAAGCTAGTATCCCGTTTGCTTTAGGTTTCTGAATGACATAAGTGTTAAGGTCATAGATAGGTTAACAGGTAATGATAGGAGAAGAGAAAGTTTTTGGCAATATCGCTTGAATACTTTCTCTCCGATGGGTCTCAATACTAGGCAGGTAGATACATAGGACATTTATATATTCTTCTACAGTTTTAAATTTTTAAAAGTTTTTTTTTATATTTTTTTTAATTTTTAATGTCGGCTCTTTTGTTTATAGCTTATCTTCTTATATATATATATTTATATTGTACAGTTGAAAAGACGTGTACACTAGTAAAAATGCAAATTTTGCCGACTAGTGTCGACTTTCTGTTGTATTCATGGCAATCAACTGATTCCAATCCCATAAAGCATATCTAAATATAGGCTATTCTAATGTGACGTTTCATTGTTTATTAATATGATGTAAGACCTCACCCCAGAAATAAAGTCTGTTGTTTGACAAAATGCACGAATGAATTGGGAAAACGAGGTTACGAAATGTATTGCCCTATATAGGGCTATTGAGTTCCATGTTCAACCCAAGCGGACTTAGGGTTTTCAGTTTTTTTATCCAAAAGTCTTCTCATCGTTGCAGTCGAGATCTTAAGAGTTCCTTGTCGCCTACAAGAGACTTAAGCTGTTCATTTATTATAAATTTCGCGTCATTATTGAAGTTGTGGGAAGTGTTGTTAAAATGTTGGCAAACTGGTATTGGTGCTGATTTACTTGAGTCTTTTTGATGGTTGTTTATTCGTAGATTAACTTGTGTTTCTGATTTACCAATGTATTGTAAACCGCATTATATACATTCTAGTAGATAGATCACATACTTACTTTTGCAGTTAACCTTATGTCGGATCACATAAGTACGCTTGGTTTGGTTACTTTTAAAAGTTGATGTGCTCAAAACTTGTTGGCAACATAAATTGCCTTGTTTGGTATTTCATGATATACAATGACCCTTTTCATTGCGGCTTTTAGATTTTGCTACTTCATTGTTGGATATTTTATTACTCCCAAGGATATCCCTTAAATTCTTGTTACGTTTGTATGACATCATGGGAGGATTTTTGAAGCTTTTCGCGATTTTTGGATTGATGTTAAGGATGTTCCAGTTCTTACGTAATATACTTCCAATAGGTGGAAGGGTTCTGTAGGTGGGAATGCTTGGCTGTAGGCTAGGCTATTTTTTAGTGGTAGCGGATGTTCAGATGCTCTATGAAGATAATTCTGTCTGTCTGTGGGTTTCCTATGTAGTCTTGTTTGCAAATGGTTTCTGTTATAGATATAAACGATCGTGTCTAAAAATGGGACTTCTTTTGCTGACAACTCATAATCAAATTTGATAGAGGTATGTTTTTCGTTAAGTTCAGATATAAAGTTTTCAAATTGCTGTTTGGTGCCTGTCCACAAAATGAATATGTCGTCAATGTAACGTAGATATAATTTTGCTTTATTCCCAATATATGGATAAATGTATTCTTTTTCGAATTTTCCCATAAATGTGTTAGCGTAAGAGTGGGCACATATTGTTCCCATGGCACAACCCTTGATTTGGAGGAAATTATTGTCATTAAATTCAAAATTGTTACAGGTAAGTATAAGTTTTAGAAATTCAAGTATTACGATTGGAGAGGCTGAAAGTGTATTTGTATTTGTAGGCTCGTTTAATTTTTGTTTAACCCTTTCCTCACTAGATTTCCTATTCCTATTTCCTATTCCCTGGCCTAAACATAAAATTTTCGTACATAATTTTCAACCTAAATTTTTACAAGGAAGAAGGAAAATGTTATATAGGACACTTGGCATCAGAAGATAGAGAATTTGATAGAGAATTCAAAAATCATGGTTTTAACACACAGTCTTATTAAGCAAACAAAATTAGTTAAAATACAAAAACACAGCGAAATAATGTCTCTTTCAACGCCAAAACTGAACCTTTGTGTGGTAGTCTGTAAAGCAATTATTGTCTTTTTTAATGCAGAGATAAACAGAATTTACAGGCTCACACCCAATGCAGCAAAATGTTGTTTTAGAAAGTGTATACGGGCACTCTTTAACATCTCTGTCTGGATTTGTAGTTATTCAGAATGCTCGCTTTTTTCTGCAAACAATACATCTATGCTCCTTTCCTTCTCCCTTTTGTGGCAAATGAATGCCAACATTTGCCAGTCTCCTTTCTACAACTTTTGCTGTGCTCCTTCTCTTCCTTCCTTTTCCACAATTTACAACCCTTGTGTTTCCCACTAGCGCCAAGGCTAGTTCCTCCTTGAAAGCAAGGAGGTCACGCTTTCTTTTTCCTGGAACCATATGGGGTTTGATCTGCCCCTCAATAATGTAGGCATTGTTTATTGCTTTCATTAGCAAAGCAATGAATATTCTCAGATAGAATCTTTTTTGTTTTTTGTCTTTTTTAACAATTGATTGCTGGTCACAAAGGTCGACCCCAAGCATTTTTGCATTATAGTCTTGGACCAGCTGGGGGCACTGAATTTTAATCTGTTCATATTTCCCATCTTTTTTTGTGTTTCTGGTCACAGGCTCACCAGCTGCGGAATTATGAATTGAACTGAGGAAATAGACAGGCTTTGTGTCTTTCCAAACCAAAGCAATTAGCCCCTTATGGCTTGCAAATTTGCTCTCCCCTCTTTCCATTTTTTTAATTTCGTTACCCAGGAGTTGGTGAGGGTAATATCGTCTGTTAGAACGTATTGTTCCACAGGCCAAAATTCCTTGCCTCTCTTAGTAAAGAAGTAGTGGTACACTGGTATAAAAGTTATCCATGTACAGATGATGGCCACGATGCGTAAGTTCTTTCAAGAGGTTGACAACAACCATATCGGTTTTCCCCAAGTCGCCAACATCACTATCGGTGTTTCCTGCTTTGCCCGTGTATCAACAAAGTTCCAGCAGTATCCCGTGCTCGCTTCGGCCAAAACAAAAACTTTGATGCCAACCTTCACTGGCTTTTGTGGCATTCTTTGTGTCCAAGAAAGACGTCCTTTGAAGGGAATCATACTTTCGTCCACTGAGATGTCTCTTGCCAAAACATACATTGTTTTGAATTTTTCTTGCAAGTGATCCAACACTGGCCTAATTGTGCGAAGGCGATCGCGGCTTTCTCCCATCATATTTAGATCGCAAAAATGTACGAAGCGCTGAATCTCAGCAAATCTATCTCTGGTAAAGATTTTTCCAATATTTGTGTGGAAAATCCATTTGCTTTCATCTGCAATGAAATATCGTTCTGTCCTTAGCACTACGAGCAGGCTATTGGTGATCACAACGATGCCGATGTAGGCTTTGATTTCATCTACAGTCACCTTCCACTGTTCACCATTGGTTTGGTGTAACTTTGTTGCAGCGTTTTTTTCTGTCCACTCAACGATTTTTTTTAAAATGTCATCCCCAAAAAATAGTTGGAAATAAAAAAGAGCATTCGCATTATCTGCTATGTTCATTGTAGGCCCTGGCTCGGGTAAATCGTCAAGAGCATCTGGATCAGCTGACAAGCTAGGCTCGGAATTGAGTGTCCACTCCACATCATCCAGTGGTGGCATTTCAAAGCGAAATCCTTCAAATTCTTCTTCGTCATCTGAATCACCAAAAACATTTAAAAAATCGGTAACAAATTCGTCGCTAAAATCTCCTATTTGTGGCACATCGTCTTCACTCGATTCAGACAGTGAGTCGCACTCGTCAACTTCGTAGGCCGCCATAATTTCAAAACACGCAAGCTCGCTGTAAATTTTCAATGGCCGTTTGCTCAAAAATTTCATATCACATGCAAAATTCACAATAGCCGTTTGCTCAAAAATTTCATACCACATGCAAAATTCCTAAGATTCTATTGGTTTAAAGGTTTGACTACATAATGGTATGTAACAAAGGTAGCCATGACAATCTAGTCTACACAAAAACCACAATTGAAAATACGTCACAAGAAATTGATGCCAAAGCCGCTAAAGAGGCTTATCGTGTTCACAGGGTCGCAAGGCAAAGCCTCTAAAGAGGCTCTTCGTGAGGAAAGGGTTAACAGCATCAAGGCCTTCATTTGTAGGGATATTAGTGTAAAGGGATCTGACATCCATGGAAATAAGTACTGTATTATGTGGTAGGTCTTTAACTGACGATAATTCATTAATAAAATCTGTGGTGTCTCTTATGTAGAAACTTAGTCGCTGTGCTACTGGATTTAAGTGGTAGTCTACATATTTAGAGATTTGGCTAGAATGGCAAGCTACTGAGCTTACCACCGGTCGACCGGGATTGTTTGGTTTATGTATTTTCGGTAGCATGTAGAACCTAGGTGTTTTAGGGTTAGCTGTTTTTAACGCTTCTCCAATTTTAGATTGTATTAATTTCTCTTCTTTATACCTGTCGATTAAATCATTTATCATTTTATTGTGTTTATTGGTTAAATCTTCATCAATGGTTAAATAGAACTGGGTATTACCTAACTGTCTGTTTGCTTCTTTTATATAGTCTTTTACATCAATTATTACAACTGCCCCCCCTTTGTCTGCTTTGGTTATGATAATGTCAGTTCTTTGTTTTAAATCATTTATGGCTTTTATTTCTTTTTTTGAGAGGTTATTTTTGGGTAGAGGTACCTTAGGTGTTGAGTAAATATCGCTTTTTACCTCTTCTATAAAAGTTTTGACTGTACGATGTACATTGTATATTGTCCATCTACTTTTCTTCCTAAATATTCTTTCTTCGTCTGTTTGTTGCTCGTCAGTTTCTTCTTCATCTTCTAGTGTTTCTTCATTGTTGTTAAAATGGGCTTTAAGTTTGATTTTTCGAAAAAATTCCTTCATGTCTTCTTCCAGTTCTTTTGTTTTGTAAGGTAAGGGTGTTGGACAAAAGTTGAGGTTTTTGTTTAATAGTTTAAATTCACTTAAGGAAAATTTAAAGTTTGACAAATTTATGACCTGTCCAAATGGATCGCTTATTGTTCGGACAAGCTTCTTAATAACTTTTCGAATCCTGTTATTGCCTTTGTTGTTTCGTTTAGGGCTGTAAGCATATCTGTTAGGCCCCCATGGTTCATGATACATGGAGGCAGTGGTTTCGTTTTTTTGGTTCCGGTTTTGAATTTCCTCGGTTGTTTGTGCTTCAACATGTGTTGTTTGATTAGACTTTTTCATTCTTTTTTTCGGGCGCTGCAAAATTTTGATCATTCCAGGGACTTTTGTTGTTCTGTCTCTTTGGCTCTGGCTTGTTGATGCTCTTACATTTTTCAGGTGATCTACAAAGCTCATTGGTCAACACGCAGAGACAATGACACTACAGAAACATACATCGGACTTACAGAAAACGAATTCAAGACAAGATACAGAAATCACACCGCATCTTTCCGTCACGCAAAACACAGAAATTCCACAGAACTCAGTAAATACATCTGGACCCTAAAAGACAATAACATCGACCACTCCATTTCCTGGCGCATCCTCTCAAAAAAGCCATCCTACAGCAGCTCAAACAAAAGATGCAGCCTTTGTCTTAAAGAAAAGACCCTCATTATCTGCCACCCCGAGTTATCAACACTCAACAAACGAAACGAACTCGTATCTTCTTGCCGCCATAGAAACAAAACACTATTTCGAACACCTAAATCCCTTTATGTACCGCCCCTAATTTACCTTTTGTATAACCTTACACATTATGTAACACCTTCTGTACCGTATTATCTATTTATTCGAGGAATATTCCAGTATATCAACATCTCTTGAAGAGTGAGTTACTCACGAAACAGGCTTGTAGAGATAAACCATGTAGTTTTACTTTCTTCAATCTATGATATATATATATATATATATATATATATATAGATGATCAGTAAAAAACAACTTGATTAACGTTTCGAAATATGCTTCTTCAGAATTTTTCAGACGATCGCCAGTTACGGGATAGGTTAAAGGATTTGGCTGGATGGTTAAAGGCAAGGGGGTATGAGGAATCACTTATAACAGAACAGATAGATAAGGCACGTAAGCAGGATAGGGCCACATTATTGGATAAGGCTAATGGGAAACAAGATCACAATGGGAGTGGGCGGGTTCCGTTGGTTACCACTTACCATCCAGCCTTGAATAATGTGGGCAAGGTGGCCGGGAGACTCAATTCTATGCTGACGATATCGGAAGAGCATAGGAAGGTGTTTCCTCAGCCACCTTTGATATCATTTAAACGATGTAAGAACCTTAAAGATTCACTAGTTAGGGCGAAACTTTATAATGAGGGGGCAGGTACCACGCATAATAGGGGTTGTACTCCATGTGGCAAGTCTCGATGTCAAGTGTGTAATGTTGTGTGTGACAGTGATACTTTTACTTCCCATATAACTAATAAGGAATAAAAGATAAATTTTCCGCTTAACTGTGATTCATCCAATGTTGTGTATCTTATGGAATGTAAAGTATGTGGTGTACAGTATGTGGGTAGCACTTGCACGCCGTTTAGGCTTGGGTTTAATAACTACAAGGTGTGCAATCGTAAGTTTATTGGGGGCTCTTCGGGTATACCTCAGGCTGATTTTTTCCGGCATTTCGCAGGGAATGAACATCATGGGTTTCTCTAAGATATTAAAGTAACTATTATAGATAGACTTAATGGGAATGGTAGGATACGTGAAAGTTTCTGACAGTATAAGTTAGAAACTTTCGCGCCCCGGGGCCTTAATATTAGGTTAGTTGAAACCAAAGATCGTGGAAGGGAGACTGGATAGGACACTGAGCTGAGAACAAAAGGCGATTATTCTCATCTTCACAACAGTGTTATCGAAAAAGTTGTAGGGTATCCTCATTTCCGGTTCAGCGTATTTTTTGGAAGAAAAGCGAAGGTCGCAGTTGATTGTGGTAGAAAAGATGGAATTTGATTATTTTGGTCCTGATATAGACGAAGAAATGCTTGAAGATTCGGCAGAGGTAAGGGTCTGTTTTATTTTTGAATTTTGTTGAATTTTAATCTTGCGTTCACTTGATCTCTTATCATTAGAAATAGGCCCAAGCCTACACCTTCACTCATTACTGATTTTTGATTCGCTTTCATCTACAGGTGACAACGATAGCATTTTGCAATGAAGACAGGATTGAGCTGCTTATTGAGGAAAATGATATCAAAAAACGGCGGAGAAAAGCGAAGAAGGGCAATACCGAATCTGATGCGCGTATCGGGGAAACAAGTAAGCCAAAATTTCACGTTGATGTCCGCGTGATGCTCAGGAATGCACTTGAAGTAATGCAGAAAAATGAAATGTTGTGTGAGATGTTTGCTAATGTGATAGGACGTTTATCAAAAATCAACTTTGAAAGTATACCAGAACTATCTTTCCTTGATGAAGTCCTTGCACAGACCGTAGACATGAAATCTTTTTCAATGGAGATGATGTGGACTTGTTTCAGCAAGGTTTGGATAAACGCAAATGTTACTGACAAGCTGATTGAATGTCTCGATGTACCTAAATACTTTTGTTCCTGGCTGTTGTTATATTGCCAAGAAGAAGTGTCAAAATATAATTTTAATGCTTCAGTTCAAGTTTCTTTCGTAGCCTCCGAAGCACGACTGAAGGAGCAAGAAAAAGAGACTGTCACATATATCTGTGGAGCAGTTTTGTCCAAGTTAATTAAAAAGGCCTATGACAATTTGCAGAAGCCACGAATAATTGAAAATGCAGAATTGGCACTCAAAAAGAGAATTGAAGCTTTAAATTGCTGCAAGAGTAGTCACTCTACTGGAGTTTACACTGGAAAACTGATAGAAACTCTTGACCGTGGAGGGCTTGTTTATCCGAAAGCTTCATTTGCTGACCTTTTTCACAGAGCAGAAAAGTTATTTCAAGATTCCGTTTCTGGTGGTGTTAAAAAAATTAATGTGGCAGCCATTGTACCCCAATTCTTCAGTCAGGAAGCAAATGGAAACTACAGTATAAGAACAAAATCAATATTCAGTTCAAAGAATGTACCTGAAAACATGCAGAAAGTCATATTAAAAGACAGCATCAAAATATATGTGAAGTTGAGAGCCCATGCCCATGCAAAACATTTGATTGAGAACTATAAGTCAACATCAAGGAAACAGAAAAAAGAAAAGGCTTTGAGAAAAAAGTTAAAATCTGTTTCAAAGGACAAAAAGTTGTAATTTGTTAAGTTGTTTTGGAGATGATAAGATCCTTTTTAGAATTATTTTACAGGATAAGATCATTTCCCAAAAATAGAATTTGTAACTTTTTTGCTTCAAATTTCTTGTTCTCTGTTCACCAGCATACCCTGAAATAGCCTCAACCACAACCATAGCCTCATGCCAAAAAACATGCTTTGCCCCAAATGTTCTAATGTTTAATTTTTTTATTTTCTTACAAATATGCTTCAATAGAGCTCAGGACAAGTTCCCTATGATGTATTGTTGTACTGATGTACCCAAATATCCACCCATATCCCCAAACTAGCATTCTAGGCCCAGACTATAAATGGATAACAATTAGATGTATTTGTGCTAAACTGAACTTATTGAACTATCTGAACAATTGTTTTCCTCTCAATCACATGACAGAAGATTTTAAAAAAATTATTTTTGCTGATTTTTTAACATGACTGAGAACAGAACAATTTTTATTTAAAAACAATCCTTAAATTCCTTACAGGCTTGAAATAAACAAAATGATCAAAATAGAGGCAAGGGGACAACAAAATTCAACGCAACAACTTGAGGTCACCTGAATAAGGGTTCTAATAAGGGTACAATACTTTTAATCAGAGCAGTGGAGTTAAATGGGCACTTTTGATTAAAAAAGCTACTTTTGTTGGACCTTCCAGTGGAAAAATAGGGGGAGAAGTTGAAATAAGCTACACATATTCTACTAAAATCCCAATTTATTCTAAGCCCAGAAAAAGTGATTACTTCACTCAAATAAATAAATATAGTGTCTATAGTATATCCACTGCTTTCACTGTTAATAATGCTGTAATATATGCGTGTTACATGGTCTTTTCTGCATGTTCTAGGTTAAGATTGCATGTGCACTACTTCATTCTTTAATGGAGTAACAACAGACAATTTTGATTAAAGATAGGCAAAATGTTAAAGCTTTAAAATGCTACATTTGGATATGCTAGCCCAATGGCAATAATGTCCTTTAAGCCTATTCCCATGTATAACCTAGACCTAAAGGGGTTCAGCATTCAGCTGGCAAAGTACTGGAAAATCCAGAATGGCCAATCGCCCTGTTGATGAACTCAAATTTGACATGTTGCCCAAAAACGTTTTATAAAACATTTATGCTTTTGATTCATTAAAACTTTTCTCAGTAAGAAAATCTTTAAAAATGCTCTCAACACAGTTATAAATGGGGCTAAAACCAAAAGTTAATGTGTCCTTCATCAAATAACTATGAACAATCAAGGGCATACTTGGAGAAAATCTTCAATCAATTATAAAAACTACAGAAACTTAGAACAAAAACTATAACAGAGGTCCAAACAAAGGTAACTCTCTGCAACCTAAGTGATGTGTCTGTATCCTAATAACTTTATTTCTTTCTTCTTTTTAATGGACTTGTAGTTATTGTTATTCCCTCTTTTGGGCGCTTTGAACCCTTAGTGTTTCCTTTAGGGGTTATACTTGTGGCAATAGATCTTTGCACCCTCAACTTGTTCTCCTGATGACCCAGTGCATGGATAGTAGGATTGCAAGACCGTCTTCCTAAACCTCTATGTTGTCCAAAATGGTCTTCAAGGGGATCCTGGCTAAGTTTGTTCGTAAGGACATACTTGAAGCCATTTTGGAGCAGATACTGGACACATTCAATCAACGCATGAGCTGTGGTTTGCAAACCTTCATAGGTTGCTTTGGTTAGGAACATCTTTTCTCTGTCTGCTGACTTGAAATTCCCTTTGCGGTTTTCTATGACATCCTTCCAATCAGCCAAATATTTTAGGAATTCCTCTTTCATGAATTTGAACCGTTCATCGTCCACACTTGTATATGGCTTCAAAAAGGGCTTTCGTTTCTGTACACCTTCATTAATGACCGCGTATTGCAGCAATCAAAGAATTTATCTACAAGTAATATCAGCTTGGCAGTTTCTTTTGCCTTTGGTGTAGCATAAGCCAACATCACCTTACCTACTGTCTCGCTCATGACTTGCGCTGCTAAGTTGACACGCATTCTTGAATAAGGTGTCAAATATACATGCTCGTTCTTGATTTTGGGTAGCTTCCTGACCTCACTCAATCGATCTGCCTCATACAATGAGATCAAATGGTCCCA